TTTTTTTTTTTTTGGAGGGGGGGGGGGCGGGGTAAATTATTTAAGTCAAGGTTGTCAAACTTGTTTTGCAATGCGTTTAATGTTTCTAAAATAATGCATCGTTTATCATAAGATAAGATTCGCTTAATTTAAAATAAACATATCAATCAATATATATAACTAAAGATGAATAAATATCTATAGTTAAAAATAATATTAATACTATTTTTGTGGCCAATGTATTGTCTGTAGAGACTGAAAGAGAGACAGTACTTTGGTCTTTGCGACAGAGATCAACAAAAAAGAAGTTAGGAATTTGATTGTTTGAAGAACATGAATAAGAAGGTAGGAAAAGCAAAAGTGAATTGGAGGAGAATCAGATGGTGATTGAAGGTTCATCTCTGATCAAACCAAAAAGGAAAAAAAAAACTATAGCAAATAATGTTGTTTCACTGTTTATGGTTTTAAAAAAGCCTTGAAAAATGACATTTTTCTGGTTATCTCAGAGTGCAACAACAAAGTTCAAAGAGTGAAGGAAAAAGATCACGACTAACCCTCAGATCGATTAGGCAAATTGCACAACCTCATCGTTAATTTTTTTGTCACACAACATTCCAATTAATAAGATTAGCTAGAAATTTATAGGCAACTGTAGTTCTACTAATTCCATTAGGACTAACCAATGAGTCTTTAGTCTAATGGTATTTCTTACCTTGTGAAAACTTTACCTTATTGAGGTCAAGGGTTCAAATCCCCCCCTCCTCCTCTCCCTCTCCCTCTCCCAAAAAAAAAAAATCCTATTAGGACTAGGGTAGAAAAAAAGAAAAAAAAAGAAAAAAAAAGGGAAAGAAACTGTCACTCTTCAACTCTTGATATTATTACCTCTATCCATCCTTTCCTAAGAGCTCTCCTCTACCTTCTTGTCGTCCAATTCTTTTATCTCCCTTGCTGCCTGAGCAATTCTCCAATTCACCTTCCTCGCTCAATTAACCTAGGTGCCATGAGCTATCACCTCCTGAAACCTTGTTGAGATCAAGCCAAGACTTCCTCTTACAGTATCTTGTCAGTCCTTCGAGATATTCTCTTCGACTGACACACGTTACAAATAGAAAGGCCAGGGTCAAACCTATACTTCAAATCTAAATGCAACCTAGGCTCCGTGCTGCTCTGTTCAATGGCAAAATCCATCTGCTCAAGGACCTAACCTAACCAAGGTTTTAGGCCATATACCCTACAAAAGTTGAACCTGTTAAACCTTTTATGCTAAGGATCCCTGCAATGTCACGAAATCTTGTATACACGCTACCTTCCTTGTGACAATTTTACTCCATAGGTTGCCTAAATTGCTCCAAACACGTTTTCTGAGGCACTTTAGGAATCTTAAGAGATATGGTTTACAAATATAGACTAATTTAATACGTCTTAGATACTATGAAGAGAAAAAGACAGAAGAAAACATAGGATTTGCTGGAAGAAGATGAGAGAAAGAGATCCTGATCCAAGGAATAGATTACCATGGGAAGTGGATTAGTTCCAAATACACTTTGGTGCCCGCCAATAGGACCTAATTGTCNCTAAATAATCTTGAAGTTGTTGTGGGTTCGAACTAAAGTACAATCACTTTCTGCAAATAATGCTAAAGATCATATCTGTATCAAATCTATCCCTCAAAGACCTAATGAGGACTAAATTGGGCTTTATTTTTTTGCTGTGAAACTAGCTCCTATTTTATTGAAACCACTTATGTTTTTCTAAACAAATAAACATCATTTTTTGTTTCAATTAGCTCTTAATATTTTAAATAAACTTCTGCTTTTTAGAAATATGTTCCATTTCCTTGAAATTTTCTGACAATTAATGAGTTCATATAATTCTACAGTGTAATTTATAATTTCTACGCAAGCGTTTAAGCCCCGGGAGACCTGTACCTGTATGGGTACCTGGAGTGCGTGTGTGGGTGACTGGGCACCTGTGTGTGTGTGTGTGTGTGTGTGTGTGAGAGAGAGAGAGAGAGAGAGGTAGATATTATACCATCTCCCTTTGCATTTGAAGTTTAAATTTATCAACAAATAGATGGCCAAAAAACGTGGGCTGCTTTCCTGACAAACTAGGAGGTCCAAAGCAACCAACAAGCGGCCTGCAAATAAAATATCATTACACGATGAGCACTATTTTCATATAAGTTGGGAAATCCCATGTTTTGCTACCATAGGTTACTTTGGCTAGAATAAATCCAGAACCACAAGGCAAACCTAAAATCAAATAACATACGGTTGATTTAAGTCGAGGTATTTTTTTTTTTTTT